AGAAGTTGCCCTGGCCGAGCCAATCTCCTGACATGAACCCCATCGAAAAGCTTTGGGCCATACTCGACCAGCAGATCAAGAAACAACAAAAAAAAACTTCGAAGAGCAATCTACTCCAAGTTTTGAAGGAAGAGTGGGCGAAAATCCCACAATCTAAAACTGACGAGATGATTCTCACGATGCTCCGAAGGATCAACGAACTCCACGAAGCGAAAGGAAGATCTACTAGATATTAATTAAATTATAAATATATCAATTCATGTGAATATGAATGAAAAATTTATTTTTTTCTGAAAAGGTTGTGTCTATTTACTTGTGACCACGCTGTGTACACGTTAATTCAAATTTTTAAATATATTTTGACATTTAAATCTTATACGTAACAACTCTTACAATACATTTATTTTTAAAAATCCACAGTGTTCCAAAAATGTTTACTGGTTGAGTACTAACCATTTGAGGTTCATAGAAAGAGAAGATGCATTAAATATATAAAAGAAGTTACGTAATAGGTGCATTCCTCACTAAGCCAAAAATCCAGTTCAGGGGAGAAGGAGCAAAATATAAAAAAAGAAAGTATTATAAACCACATACCTGAAATATTTCAAAATTTATGAACACCAACAAAACTTAGAAGCAACAACATGTCTATGAAACATTACAGCACTTTTTGAGCACATTTATGCATACTCAAATTACGAATGAATGTCAAATTAAAATATAAAACTAATATATAAAAACTATTCTCAATTGTTTGTTTGTGTTTACGCGCAAAGCTAAAAGAGGGCTATCTTCGCTAGCCATCCCCAATTTAGCAGTGTAAGACTAGCAGGAAGGCAGCTAGTCATCACCACCCAACGCCAACTCTTGGGCTACTCTGTTACCAACGAATAGTGGGATTGACCGTCACGGCTGAAAGGGCGAGCATGTTTGGTGTGACGGAGATTCGAACCCGCGACCCACAGATTGCGAGTCGAGCGCCCTAACAACCTGGCCATGCCGAGCGTAATTCTAAGTACATTAATTACTTGTAAAATATTTGAAAAATATAGATTCAGTTACCCAATGTGTCTCTGTTCAAACCAATGAATCACATGTATACATACACTCAATTACCCAATGTCTCCCTGTTTGAATCGATGAGTCACGGCTACACAGGCACTCAATTACCCAATGTCTCCCTGTTCGAATCGATAAATGACGGGTATATATACACTCAATTACCCAATGTCTCCCTGTTCGAATCGATAAATGACGGGTATATATACACTCAATTACCCAATGTCTCCCTGTTCGAATCGATAAATGACGGGTATATATACACTCAATTACCCAATGTCTCCCTGTTCGAATCGATAAATGACGGGTATATATACACTCAATTACCCAATGTCTCCCTGTTTGAATCGATGAGTCACGGTTATACAGACACTCAATTACCCAATGTCTCCCTGTTCGAATCGATAAATGATGGGTATATATACACTCAATTACCCAATGTCTCCCTGTTCGAATCGATAAATGAGGGTATATATACAC